AGCCCTCCCCTGGAACCTAGCAGTCAGGCTGTTCTGTTTTATCAATCAAGAGGGCTGCCGTGTTTCTTGCCTGCTGAGAACACAAGTGCATCAGGCCGATATCTGGACGAGGCTCTTATTTGGCCAATCACTGGTCGTTCACCCAGGCATTAATTTCTGAGGTAATGGGAAAGGGGTGGACATCTCCCCGATGCCAGCCCACCCAATTATTTGCCTTTCCACCATTTCTCAGTAAGGGAAAATGCCAGCCATATGATTCTAGGTTCTGCAGGAAAAGGTGGATGTGCGAAAAGCACAGAATAGAGATGCTAATCAAGATGTAAAGCTGTTATCAATAATGCGTTCCAATAATTGTTATAAATCTTTGGCATAGCAGCACTCCTTTCATCCCACACTGAAATGTTAACCTAGAACATTTGGAGTAGAAGTTGAAGCCACAATCGCTGACTCAAAGACAATGGTGCTCCAATTGGGTCATGACTGGCACTCAGAAGCCAGCAGATGCCTAGTCTGAAAATCAAATGGGTGGTTAAGAAACACACTTAGCCATTCATTTGTTTTGTCCTGTTGGCCTTGCTGCCTTTACCCTTCAAACAGCTGCCGTCTGAGGTGGGTCCAGTAATAAGTGTCATGTCAGCTGCTCAGTGAGTCAAGATAGAAAGGGAACCCTGATAACAAAGCATAATAAACTGAGGCTTGGTATACAGGATCACCCACTCTTATTTATTTCAGTATGATTGTAGGTAGGGATCCAAATTCACTTCTTGGTGGAAGCCCTGGGATTCTATCAGGGTAGGAAACAGGCACAGTGGGACTCTGTCTTCCTTTCCTCCTTTCCATCCTCTGAGAACTGAGTGTTCCCTTGACAGCAGGGAAAGGAATATTAGGCCTGATGTTCTTCAGCTTCTCCCACTTAACCTTAGTCACTGTCAGTGATTTCATGTTTCCACAACATAAGGTATCCTTTGTTCATCACTTATATGTTATCTATTTCTGTCACAATCAACAAAAACAAAAGGGTTGAGTTCAATGTATATATAATATATTGAAGCTCATTTCTACCACTTCAAATCTGTCAAATCCATAGTTGTCCGTGCTTTGGATGCTTTGATCAATTAATGTATTGAAAGCACTTTACCCAAGCACTTTTGTTGATGTGGTGGATAAATTCTCACAATTTGGTTTGTGGTTCAATTCAAAATTTTATTAACAAAATATTCCTTAGTAAAAACACCATGTGTGACAATTCCCACAATATTTACTCTATCTAGCTCTATCTGTCGGAGAAACAATATTTTCTACCATGATCCACATGTTTGAGCTGGGTCATTAGAATTCTCTCTGAGGTAGGGCTAGCTGTCTTCAATGAAGATGGATTTCTCAGGTCAGGGTAGACTTTCTCCTGTGTCTTCTCTGGTAGCCACGGGTCTTGCTGTGCAGCTTTGCTAAGGGGCTGGCTTCCAGCGGTGCATTTTTATACCTCTCACCCCAGACTTTCCTGAATATTCCATGGCCTTTGGCCAACGGGGTCATGAGCAGGGTTCGAAGCATCCAATGGGATTCCACCTAGACCCTTCACTGTTGCTATGCAGGGGAGGTATAAAGTGCACATTCTAAGGCACTGGTTGGAAGTGAACGTGTCAAAAAGTCTGATCTATACTTCCAATACACAACCCTCAGGCTAGTTTCCCCAAACATTTGTAATCTCTTTGATCTTAGTTACCACTGTTCTCTGTAGCTGATAGCTGATGAATTTAACTTGGCCAATTTTCTGTCAGGCCCGATTTCTCCGGCTGTGGGTCAATTTAAAACGTCCAATTTTGGCCCTGTGGTCGCTTGACCATGCCAAAGCTATTGCTAAGCAATCCTGTAAAAAAAATCCAAGTGCTGGCTGAGTTTAAAATCATTCAGCTCAAATTAAACAAAGCTGAAACCATTATATTTGGCTCCTGACAGCAGTAATATGACCCTGTTTCCAAGTCTATCAAACCACCTCATCAGCACTTTGCGGAGTCTGATTTATTCATAGAATCCCTACAGTGTGGAAACAGGCCCTTCGGCCCAACCAGTCCACAGTGACCCTCGGAGCATCCCACCCAGACCCATCATCCCCCCTATAACCCACCTAAGCTACACATCCCTGAACACTACGGGCAATTTAGCATGGCCAATCCACCTAGCCTGCACATCTTTGGACTGTGGGAGGAAACTGGAGCATCTGGAGGTAACCCACGCAGACACGGGAGAATGTGCACACTCCACACAGACAGTCGCCCGAAGGTGGAATCAAACCCGGGTCCCTGGCGCTGTGAAGCAGCAGTGCTAACCACTGAGCTACCATGCTGCCATTTAGTGGTACGTAAATTTGGTACTTAAGAACAAACAGAAAGAGAAGTACAGCACAGGAACAGGCCCTTTGGCCCTCCAAGCCTGTGCCGATCATCATGCCCTAACTAAACTAAAAACCAAACCTGCTGCCCTTATTTGATCCATATTTCTCTATTCCCTCCCTATTCATGTAACCATTCAGATGCCACTCAAATGTCACCAACATGCCTGCTTCCACCAGCTCTTGTGGCAGCGCGTTCCAGGGTCCTACCCCTCTCTGCATGAAAAACTTTTCTCACACATCTCCCTTAAACTTTACCCCTCTCACCTTGAACCTGTGCCCCCTTGTAACTGAAACTTCATTCCTGGGAAAAAGCCTCTGACTATCCACCCTATCTATGCCTTTCAAAATTTTGTAGACCTCTATCAGGTCTCCTCTCATTCGCCTTCTTTTCAATGAAAACAATCCTAGTCTTTTTAAACCTTTCCTTATAGCCAATGCCCTTGAGACCAGGCACTATCTCTGGTGAACCTTCACTGTACTCTCTCCAAAACTTCTACATCCTTCTGATACTTTGGCAACCACAACCGCACACAATACTCCAAATGTGGCCTAACGAAGATTTTACATAGCTTCAACATGTTGTGCCAGCTCTTGTACTCCATGCCCTGGCCAATGAAGGCAAGCATGCCATATGCCTTCTTAATCACCTTGGCCACCTGTGTTACCACTTTTAGGGAGCGGTGGACCTGGACACCCAGATCAGTCTGTATGTTAATGTTCCAAAGGGTTCTGCCATTTACAGTACAATTCACACCTAAATTTGATCCTCCAAAATGCATCACCTCACATTTGTCTGAATTAAACTCCATTTGCCATTTCTGTGCCTAAGTCACCAATCTATCTATATCCAGTTGTATCTTTTCACAATCGTCGGCATTATCAGCAACTCCACCAAACTTCATGACATCTGCAAACTTACTAATCAGACCACCCACACTTTCCTCCAGATCATTTATATATACACATTTATATAAACCTCAGACTGATCCCTGTGGAACACCACTAGTTACTGATCTCCATTCCGAAAAACATCCTTCTACTGCTACCCTCCATTTCCTATGACAAGCCAGTTTTGTATCCACCTTGCCAGCCCACCCTGAATCCTACTTGATTTTAGTTTTTGTACCAATCTGCCATGTGGGACTTTATCAAATGCCTTACTAAAGTCCATATAAACAACACTCACAGCCCTTCCCTCATCAATTATATTTGTCACCTCTTCAAAAAATTTAATCGGGTTGGTGAGTCATGACCTTCCCAGTACAAAACCATACTACTTGTCATTAGCTAGTTCATTTTCTTCCAAATCTGTATACATCTTGTCCCTCAGTATCTTTGCCAAGAGCTTCCCCACTACAGATGTCAGGCTCACCGGGCTATAATTTCCTGTATTATCCTTGCTTCCTTTCTTAAACAAGGGAACAACTTTGGCTTATCTCCAGTCCTCTGGAACGTCGCCTGTGGTGAAATAGGATGTGAAGATACCTGTTAATCCCCCAGCTATTTCTTCCCTTGCCTCTTGCAGAAACCTGGGATAGATCCCATCTGGCCCTGGGGACTTGTCGACCTTAGTTCAATTTAGCATATCCAAAATTTCCTCCTTTCTCTAGAGTATTCACACTCATTCCTGACCTCAACATCAGCCTTGTCCTTCTCCTTGGTGAATACCGATACAAAATACTCATTAAGGATCTCTCTAACTTCCTGTGGCTCCATGCATAACTTCCCTCCTTTGTACTTGAGTGGGCCTACTCTTTCCCTTGCTACCCTCTTTCTTCTAATGGCCCCTTTCATGGCTCCTTTTAGCCTTCCTAATTCCATGTTTAAGTTTCTTTCTAATTTCTCCATACTCTTCAAGGGCTTCGTCCAGTTTGTAGCAGCCTAGACCTACTGTATGCTTCCTTTTTACTTCTGACTAAACTTACAATTTCCCCAGTCATCCGTGGTTCCTGAATCCTGCCATTCCTATCCTTCAGTTTTGCAGGGACATGCATGTCCTGCACTTTAATCAACTAGTCTTTGAAAGCCTCCCCCATGCCAGACATAGATTTGCCCTCAAATAACTGTTGCCAATCCACATTCCCCACTTTCTGTCTAATTTGGTTGTAACTGGCCCTTAACTCTGGGTTGAGAATTTTACTTCTCATCCATGTCAAGATATTTTCTTTCATTTCTGGAACACTATGTCCTTACATATTGTTTTCTCCTCCGCTGGTGTTGAAATCTTATACGATATTTTCACACCATAAACAATTATTATCATATTTTCATTTCCAGCCTTCCAAAACCCCTACTAATCTAGAATGGTCTTGTCATTTTTGACAAATAGCACTCGATATGGACCTCAATTAATGGATATCTATGTTCTCATCTTCACATTTCTTCATAGTCTATCTCATTCTCTTTCAGTAACATCTTCAGCCATATGTAATATTCATTTTATCAAATATAACCTTTACAACCCCTCTCAACATGCTTTTCTATTTGCAGCACAGGTCTTCAGCTTGAGGTTTAATTTAAGGAGTGCTATACAAATGTAAGTCACATTGAAGGGATTAAAATAATAAAATAACAAATTACATAATCTTTTATGTACAAGGAAACTCACAGTTTAAATAGTCTGGCAAAACAGCATCTGTGACTAATGTGTGAGAGGACAGCAGTTTAAATATTTCTTCATGCTCCTGTTCAGGGAGGAAGTTTAATAAATTCTGATCGATAACATCAGACTAGAAGAAATAGAAGAAAAAACCACAGTCAGTTTTGATACAGCAATACTGTTAGTTAAAAATATCATCCTGAAAACACTGTTATGATAGCTTGAGGTCCTTGCTTATTGAATGTGGAATGGTGCTGAAAATCTATGTTCAATGTTTTGAAAATGACAAGGTTGAATCCATGATCAGGAGAATTTGAAATATTTTATGATCATGTACAGTTTTACAATTTATTAGCCAATACATTGACAGCAGTGGTATGAAGGATAAGAATGAAATATTTATAGAAAAGCAGTGATCAAAGGGATAACGCACAGCTTGAAAAGCTATACATGTGCTTTGAGAAAATAAATGATGAGATCACATTTAGACACATTTTACAGTTCTCTTCAGATTAGAATACTAAAATTCTGTAATGTGTAACTGAAAATCAATTTACAGGCAATTGTTGGAGGATGTTGGAATACACAGGAGATTGCTTTACCTTATGTTTTATGTCAATACTGCTACTTGCACATTGGGTTTCCAGCCTGGAGTAGCTTGGGCTATGGGTGTGAGCATAAAAACACTATTCCTGAGGCTGCTTGTTCTTTATTGTCGAGTAAGGTTCTTCAACTCCCTATGTACTGTAACACTCCTTTATTTCTATACATATATGTAGTAAGTTCTCAAATACAGATCTTTAGACTCGCTTCTAAGCCTCTTCACATGCTTATTCTAGAGTAGGGTCTTTCTCCTAGTCTTCTCCCTTACTGATTCAGTCATGTGATCAGTTATATTGTAATTTATTTAAATCTCATTATATCACATCATCCCCTAAGTTTCTCTCTTTGTGATCTACATTAGTTCAGCAGTTTACTTTCATTTAGTTTAGCAGTTGGGTGATGGTATTGTATCTGACTGGAATGGATGCACCATTCATTTTGCTGTCTGATGTAGTGTAGGATCGCTGTCCCACACCTGCTGCAGGCATTCTGGTGATATAGCATCAGTTTGATCTGTTTGTCTGTTAACAGTAGCTTCTGACTTCCTACCCCTTAACCAGACTCAAATCCTGTCTCCCTGACAGAATGTTTGACTTCTTTCTAGAGGTGCACCATCTCTGCTGCTTTTTGCGGTGGCTTTTCTCTAATTGTTTTGCCCTCTCTTAGTCTTGAGAGATTATACTTGGCTTGAGGTTGTGTTTTAAAACTGGTGCACCTGTTTTTAACTTTCTTCCCTTTAACAAGTCCACTGGCAGGGTAGAGCTCATTTCCAGTTAAGATTCTTATATATCAGTGATATACATCATACTTGATGGCTTTATTAGCCTCTCTGTTTGACTGAGAATGGAGTGAAGACCTTTTCACCTGGCTGATGGCTGCCTCTAAAGTGAACTTGCTTAAATTTTTGTTCACAAATTGAGGTCCACCGTCGTCTAGAAAACAGCATCTTATAGATCTTTTTCAGAGCTCCAATCACTGAATCTTTTGTAGTGGAATGAAGTCATATGACATCAATCCATTCAGTCAACTAGAACTAAACACATCTTCCCTCTAAAATGAAACAAATCCATTGCTAACCTTTCCTGCAGCCTTGTTGGAATTTTGATGAATCATTGGCTTTGTAGTCATTTAGCACAAACGTGACCAAATGCAATACTGTGTGTCTTTTGATGATGCCTGGTCACCACACTGATTGTTGTGCTCTTGGTCTGCACTTGTGGAACTTAGATGTTCACTGTGGAGATTCACTATGATGTTTCTTTGTATCGACTTTGGTCTAACTATTCTATGGTCATACATTAGTAGATAGGCCACTATCATCAAGTGTGGTTTTTGCTCTAGTACTTTTTCAGCATTTAGTTTGCTGGACTTTATTTGACCAATGTTGAAGACAGAATTTAAAAAATGACAGAACTGCGGATGCTGTAAATCAGGAAACAAAACAGAAATTTCTGGAAAAGCTCAGCAGGTCTGGCAGCATCTGTGGAGGAGAAAACAGAACTGTTTTGACGAAGGGTTACCGGACCCGAAATATTACCTCTGTTTTTTTCCTTGAAGACAGAGCTGTCTGACCTTTGAGTACTCCTTATCAGATTTTTGACCTGCATGAATATGTCTAAATTTCCCCAATGTTGCCAGTGAAGTATTGGCTATTGCTGTGGAACAAAGCCCTAATTTTACTACAACAATAAGATCCTCTTTTTCTGTCAATCCACTGCTGCCCTCAAGAGTGCATCTGCTGTTACTTGGACTTTGCCTAGAATATAGACTACGCAGTAGACATATCTTTGAATGCACTGGGGTATTTTTGGAATTTCTTTTGATCTCAATTAATGTTACAAAAGGTCTGTGGTCTGTCTCAACTTCATCCCATGAGATAGTCTGTGAATCTTTCACATCCCCATGTACCTGTTATTTGTTCCCTTTCTATGGTTGCATACCTCTGTTCAGCCTCTGTCAAAGCTCTCAACCCATGTTGTTTGCACATTGTATCAGCTTGCGATTAAACTACGTCTCCTAGTCCTGCAGATGATGCATCTGTGGCTACTATAGGAAGTGAGCCTGGAGTGTAATGTGCTAAACATCAGCTGAAAGTAATTTCTCTTTAATGTTTTCAACAGCTGCAGATTGTTCCTCAATCCAATATTTCTGGCTCGTCTTCAAAAACACTTTTATGGATTCTGTAAGCTTGCTAAATTGATGATAAAGTGTGCTATCTGATTCACCATGCTTAAGAGTCACTGAACATTATTTATGGACTTCAGTGCCAGAAGTTCACCCTTGGCTCTTGTCTCTCTTGTATCCACCATGATGTCTTGTTCTTGGATAATATATCCTAAAAATGTAATGATCATTCTAGAGAATTGGCAATTCTCATTCAGTCTAAAGCCTGCGTTCCATAGTGCCTTTAACACGTTCCTGACCCTCTGGTTATAATCCTTTATCATTTTGCTATATTTGAGGATGTCATCCAAACGTCAAATGGTACAGCGTTTCCCTTCCAGGATTCTAGATATTGCCCTTTGGAAAATCTCTGGTTCAGAGGAGATCACAAATTGCAGATGTTTGAATTAATATAGCCTGAATGGTGTAATAAATGCTACCAACAATCTTGGTCTCAGGGTATCTGCCAGAACATCCTGTAGCATCCAGTTCTGTGAAAAACTTCTTCATTGCCAATTTTGCCAAATCATCGTTGACAGACGAAATAGGATGGATTGCCCTCCTTACTCCTTTAATTTAACTGAGTGAGTTCCACACGCAATCTTAGTTCTCCACTTGTCTTGGGAACAGTTACTAGCTCTGTGCACCACTGTGTTGGCTCTGTCACTGACAGTATGGCTCTACTTTCAATCATGCTGTCTACCTGAGATTTTACTTTTCCCACCAAAGGATGAAGAATTTTCCTGGGAGTGTAAAAGCAGATTGGTTTAGCACCTTCTTGCCAAGTAAGGTGGTACACTAGCTTCAGTTTGTCTAAAGGTTAAAATAGTTTTGGAAATTTTTCCTGAAATTCTCTCCCATCGTCATTCTTAATTTTTGTATCCACTGTCTACAAGAGACCTACATGAATACATGCATTTCTGATCAATGATTAGGTATTCTGATTCCCCATTATATTTAGTATTTCAGTGACATTTCATTCTCTGTGACTAATTATAGTGGTGATTTGCCTATACAGCTGAAGACCTGTGCCTCCTGGACCAAGGAGTTTTATGTCAGCTGGTCTGACTTTCACAGACTTCACGGCAAATTGTCTACCAGCATTAACAAATTATTCCTGTGCCAAATTTCACTTCTGGTTCAAACCCTTGTACCTTCAAGATGATAGTCCAGAATCTGTTTTGACTCTTCTTGACATCCCTTAGAAATACTGTCTTCACCTTTTACTTTGCAAATTTGAACTTTCTTATTCTTGCATGATTTTCATTTCTCTGGAAAGTTTCCTTTTGTAGGACCCTTCCTTTACTCTTGAAGTGATGAAGGCACTGTTACTGTTTCATATTATTAAGAGTCACAACTGGGTACAGGTAAAGCACTCAGCTCCTCAGCTGTTCTTTAGTTGAGATTGAAATTATTTTGAAGCCACTTCTTGTACAACCTCATGTAGTCAATTCCAATGATTTCTGTACTTTTAACATTTTGGCAGACTGCTGGGAGGCTGACAAAGCTGCCTTTGGGCCAATCCGCCTGATCACGTCAGAAGAATTCCAAATGTCTTCCCAAGTACTAACTAATTTTGGAGCTGCTTTCTGTCACTGTACTGAATTGGATTCCTGTTCCAACATTAAATTCTCCTTGGATTGAATAAAATCTCATAACTTCTCATGTCTGATACTGGCTACTGTACAGTCTCCAGTTGATTGATCTTTCAAAGCTCTGTGCCCACAACATCTTCCTAGATGGTTTCTAGAAAGGCTTCTATTGTTTTTCTGAAATGGTGAGATTGCTGATTAAATCTTGCCTATTATACCTCTAAATGTCTATTGGTGGTAAATATACAAGCATGCAAGTTAACAGCAAGCATGTAGATTAAAATCCTGCATGATTACTACTGCGCCTTTCTGACAAGCTCCCATTATTTCTTCATATTTACACTCCATCCTACTATATGATTCCTGTTAGAGGATTTGCACACCATTCCCACGAGTGATTCTTGTCTTTATCATTTCTCGCCTCTACATCCTGATTTCCTGAATTTACAACTTCTCTTTCTATTGCATTAATACCTATTGTGTGTAAAATGCTTCAATCAATGCATCATATTCTGTTGTACTTTTTTTAATGTTTTGTGTTGCCAAAACATCTGCTGTTGGAGCTACAACACATAAAAATGTGCTGACTTGATAGCGCATGTAAGCCTGAAGCTGTTCTATTACACTGAAACAGTTATTTTTTCCCAGATCCCATGTCTGGTGTCATTTGGGACTTCCTGTTTATGAAATATTTGAGATAATGATCAAGTCTGTACTAGAGCTGCCATTCCCATGAATTACTGGCCTGACTGATCTAGGTGACTTTGTCAGTTTCTCTCCTTACTGTTGAAGTTTTCTGATTCTATGTTTTTATTCTCCAGAGTATTGCAGTTCCTAGTTACTCTTTGCAGTCATTCAAGTTGCTTTGTCCTGTTTTTTGGAATCCTCCTGCATTGTATTCAAAGTCTATCGAGGTTCTTTTTTCTGCATTTTAGTTTTCCCTCTTCAGCTGTGTTACTTGGACTCTATTTTAACTTCAGATCCTGGTTCTTATCCTCACTGCCACCTTGTTTTATCTTGTGCTTTAATTCAATTCTGGTACCTGCACATTGAGATAGATTATCATGGGCTGTGGTTGTCTGCACATACACTGTGCCTGAGGCTTCTTGTCCCTTATTTCTAAGAAAGGGTCTTTAACTCCTTATGTACTGTAACAGTCCTCTATGTACGTCTGTATATAATGGGTTCTCAAACACAGCTCTCTAAAGTAACCTCTAAAACCTCTCTCTTCACTCTGCTCATTCCAGACTAGAGATTCTTCTCTTTTACAAGTATTAGAGTCATGTGATCAGTCACAACATCATGATTTACATTAATCTTATGTTACCACAGGCAGCACTCTGTGCCTGGGTTGTAATGAATCTTGGCAAGAATCTCAATGGAGTGCTGTGTCACACATCAGAAAGGATACATTGGTCTTGAAGGGGCTGTAGCACAGATTCAACAGTACTGGGTTGGAGAGGGTCAAAGGTTACACTATGAGGACAGGACAGAAAATCTGGCTTGCATTGAAGAAACACCTGATTGAGAAGTTTAAAATGTTAAAAAATATTGTTAGGGTAGACGCAAGGTAGTTATTTCCTGTCGCACAGAATGAAGAATGGGAGCACACAATACTAAAATTAGAGGTCAGCCATTGAGGAGCACAAGTCAGAAGTTCTTTTGCATATGAAGATAATAAAACTCTGAAACTGTCTCCTGCAAACCAATGTAGATGCTAGAATAATTTGAGCTTTCAATACTGAGATTGATAGATCTGTGTAGGGATGTCAAGGGATATGAACCAAAGGCTTGTAAATGAAATGGAGCTGAGTTGCAGAAGGCATGCCCAAGGAGCTGAATGGCCTCCTCCTGTTCCTTATGTTCCTTTATTCCTAAGAGTAGAGTCTTATGAGTAAATCAATGGTCATTGCTACGTTCAATTTTGAAAGCAAGGGCACAAATTTGAAACTAGTTTACAAACACAAATAGAAACCAACCGGATTTCTGCCCAAATTTTTTTTAGAAAGGTATATCATATATTTATTAAGAATGCCCTGAATTTATTTCATCTTATAAGACTTATCAATAATGATCTCGGTAACTGCTAAGTAATAGGAGTTACATATATGCTCTGAATTCTGAGAAGGGATTCTTGGTAAACTGAGAAACATATTGCTGTATCAATTTCTGCATTTAACATCTGATACCAAATAAAAATGACACTCTCATTTTTGTTCCCTTAAATTGTCAATCTGTTGTATTTTAAAATGAAGTATTGCAACTGTTTTGTTTTTGAGTTGGAATTATTGCAGAATCTATTCAATGAACACACAAATTAGGAGCAAGATTAGGCCCTTCAGTGTCCTCAACCATCCACTAAGACCGTGGTTGATCAGATTGTGGCATTAAATTCCTTTTCTTTTCTACCCCCTATATCGTTTCACTCCCCTTTCAATCAAAAGATCTATCTGGCTCAGCCTTGAATATATTCAATGACCCAGCCTCCACCGTTCAATGGGGGAGAGAATTCCAAACATACGGTTCTCTTGAGGGAAGAAAATGTAAAGGAACTGACAAATTCATGACAAAATTTAAGTTGTAAATTAAGTTAATAGAAATTATTATAAACAGAATGCATTATACGCAGCATTTGATTAAATGCCAAGAAACTAGTAAAATAAATGTTGAAAAACATAGGACTTTTAGGGACTTTGGAGGGTAGCCGAACATCTGTGACTCTTTGATCCATAAGAATTTATGAAAGAAACAGTATAAACAAAATTATATTACTTCTTTTGTGGACAAATAATAGACGATGAAAGCCTGTTTACCCAGCCACAGAGACAAATTATAAGGCAACACACATACACACAGGCAGTGGCCATCTTAAGATACGAAAGAGTTGCATTCTAATAGAATTTCCCTTTCGAAAAGTTGAGACGAAGACATTCTGAAGAAGTTATATGGAATTACAAATATAGTTTTCTTTAAATCTGAGTGAAAATGCAATTGTTTTTAAAAGTGGATTTAAACTTAGTGCATAAATTTAAAGTAGAATAGATTTGTTATAAATATCTTTGATTTTCTTTGATATGGTTAAAGCTGAGTGAGTTCTTTTAATAATTTGGAAATTTCTCTTAGTTGACGTGTTAAGCTGATGTTGAGTTTGAATGGGTAGGTTTAACTTGCCAAGTGGAATGGTGGTTAAAGATTGTAGAACCATTAACAAAATTCCTCCTCACCTCAACCTTAAATGGGAGACCCACTTATTTTGAAATGCCCCAATTCTGGATTCTCCCATGAGGGGGAATTCCCTCTTAGCCTCTAATCTGTCAAGCACCTTCAGAATCATATCTGTTTCAATAAAATCACATAAGTAAGTTACATACTTTCTTAATAGTTTCATATTACTTTACTCACAGGTAAATGTCCAAGGAGAGGTGCAATGCTATCAGAAACATAAATGATATTTCCATCTGTTGTTACAGCTATGATGAAGCCATCTAATGCCTAAAAAGAGTAGGATAAAAATATTAGCAGTTGGTGGTTACCAACATATCAGATCGTGCATGAATATAAGGCTGGATTCTCTTAGCTTGGAGGATAAGGAGTTTGGAGAAGACTGGGAAAATAGGCAGACGTTGGGCAGAGGGTGAGATACAGGGGTAATAGAGGGGAGCCTTTTTGGGGTAGATCCTTCTTACATACCCATCATCAGAGACCTTTCCTGGGGAGGGCAGGAAATGAGGTGGACTGTTCATACCCAAGAAGAAGTAATGCATTTAAAATAATTAAGTTCTCAATTAGTTTTAATTTTGCATTGGTGCTAGTATCTTATCAATGTTGGAGCAGCATTTTCCTGCATAGAGGCCACCAGCTCAATCAATGCAGCTTCTGTGTGGACAGCTAAGAGGGGCAATAGAGACTCCATGCCCCAATGACAGAACCGATGGCAAGGTAAGCTGCACCTGAGGCCTATGTTATTAATCCTGAGGAGTGTCCCCTTGGCTCTGTGGGGAGGGGCCCGGAGGGGGCAGGGGGTGCAGTGGCGTACTAACATCAGCCCTCACCACTTTTGAATTTTACGTATGCCTCTGACAGCACTTCCATGTTGAGGTGCATTCATGGTGCCTGTTCTGCATCGATAATGTCCTCTTCTCTTGGTGGGGTTGTTATGGCTCCTGATCTGCTGTGCTCTAACTGGGCATGCAGCATCGAAAGCCCACTGTTCTTAACAAGACAGCAAATCCAAGGACAGACTAGGAGGCTAACTCCAGGAAGATGCACTGGCAAACACATTGCTGACAACCATAGGTTCAGAACTCCCACTTGGTCCCAACATCAAGATCTCAAAATCCATGGGAAACTTCAGCTTTATATGGTTTGAGAACTGCAGTGATAATATAGATTTTACAAAATGTAAAGAAATTGCTTTTTAAACAATAACTTTTGAAAAATGCACATTCAACAAAATATATTCAACTGGTAATTTATACTATGCATTGTTGTCTAATCTGACGTGTTGTAAACTGATGGCCTTACTCCAAATCAAATGCACAATCAGATGTTGTCGACAGATTATATTTTACAGCTGCACAGTGCAAACATTTATCAATCCTCTGAGTGATGGGATATTGCACTTATTGTGTAATTTCAATTTGAATCAGAGATCTGAAAGAAGTAGATTGGTATTCCTAACTGCCACTTCTGGTCTCAACACTTGTATGGTTCATTGGTCTGAGTAGGTTTCACACCAATGATAAATTTGTAATTAAAAACATTCTTAAGTACTTCAATCAAATACTTAGTTAGAAATACATGAAGCAACTTAACACTGACTATTCTTGAAATAGATTTCCCTTCGTTACCTCTAACATCAATTGTGTAAATTCTTCATTGCTCAAAAATGAAGGTTTCCAGTTATGTTGAATGATACTTGTCTCCTTCTGCGCTGAAGTTTCTAAGAAGTAACATGTTTAGCTTTAGTATTTTATGGTAACAATTACATTAACATTGCCCTACTGTATTATTCATTTATTAAATTTTAAACGTATTATAAAGAGATATCATTCAGTAAAAGCAGGACATCCTCGCAATAAGCATGAATTCAGTGTTATAAGACAGATAATGTAGTCATGAGACCTTACCCTTTCATCGACTGTGAATCTACACCTCCTCCTCTCACCTTCCACTGTGGTCCTTCACCCACTCATCTACCAATCAAGCCCCTCATCCACTCTTTTTGTACCCTCTCACCAACTAATATGCCACCTTAACCCCTCAAAACTTGCCATCCTACTCAGTCACCCACTTATTTTTGGCATGTATCTGTTCTCTGTAGCTTGTTGATATGCCATTGGAGCCTTTAAACCCCAAATACGGCAGTTAATGCCATAAAATGAAAGCATGACTTGGCCACCGATGCTAATCCTGTACTGCAATGGAAGATTTCCAGAACAGGTATGTTTTGCACTTCTCAAGAGGCTTGGTTTGGAGGTCTGGGCCAAACATGCAGAAGCAAGGAAAGGAAAAAGGAGTAGAGTAGCTAATGGTTGTGGCCACTTCCAGAAAGATTTGGCCCATACTAAAAAGAAATTCTTTTTTTTAAAAAGTCACATCACTTTAGACTTCCACTTTTTTAAAGTTAACAACTACTTTATTATTGCCACACAGATACGTGCCAACAATAATATAAACAGTCTTTATAGGTAATTATAGCCTACGGAATTATACCGCTACTACTTCCTGGTTCTTCACATTTGGTCTGATACATAACCATTTTTTATTTGATCATAACATTTGCTGATTGAATGGGTCATGCAGGTTGGTCAAACTATAATTGAAATCTAAATATATTTCATGATACCTTTTCTACTTAGTTATCTTTATATTAATAGAAACTGTAGTACTCCTTTAAGAGTTAACTAACCAGTTCAATTTAGATGCAGAACCCGTCAACCATTTTTTGTTTGATTGATAACATTCTCTAACTAAATGATATTGTCATGCAGCATGCTCTGGTGAGAATTGAAATTTAAATATATTCCATGATATCCTTTCCACTTACATTACTTACAGTTATATGAATAGAAACTGTAGTACCCCTTTAAGAGATAAATAACCAATTCAATTTAGATGCAGAAACATTTTATAAATATTAAAATTATTGTAAAAGCCAACCAACTATACTTATAGATTGAAAAATACAGTGTGGCAGAGGTTCCATGATGGGTGCAATTGGTCATTCTGGTATACACTGCACCTATTTTGGAAAGTTATCATTCCCCAGGTTTTTATTTGAATCCATTTGCCATGAGGTAATAAAATTGGGCAATGCCTTAAGAAATAATTTTTGAAAATACTTTTAAAAACTGGTAACTTCTTACACTTTGATTAGTGCAGTTGAAATTGGATTTATCACAAAAAAATCAACATTTAAACTACCTGCAAGTAACCTTGCAATGTTGAAAAATAGAAAAAACTATTTTTGAGTCCGATTGGGGTATAGCAGTCAGTCCCAGAGTAATATTAACAAATAAAAATCATTCAAAGCCATTAAAATACATGTATTAATGAGCCACTACCTCGAGGCCTGTAAACAAGTGCAATAAACAGAAACTCCAAATGGTGGCTAATTCACCCGGGGATATGACTAGTTTTGTGATTGGGGCTTTCCTTATAGCATGACATTATTAAAAGTGACACAAAAACTGTAGAAACTCAATTTGCACAGAATGCAATTTATAATTCTGAAAGCTTTTGTGCTAGTTATGCCATATCATAGGAACTACACCAAATAAAGTGTAGACTAGTATAAACTCCAAGCCAATATTTTCCCCTCCTTCAATTTCACTTTTAAAAAATATATTCTTTGCTTTTGCTTTAGGCTTTTCTCAATAGACAGTAAGACTTTCGGCTTCAAATAACACGCTGGAAATCCTTTGCTAGTGCCTTTTCGTAGGCGATGTACAACAATCATACAAAGGGGAAATGAGACATTCAGCCCAGGTAGGATTTCACTTTATGGGTACCAGCTAATTCAGTTCAGCACAGGAATTCAACCCAACCCACTTTCACCTGCACAATTTGTGTACATTGCACATGGCGTCCAATTAACCAGCAAAAGATAGGAAGGGTGACTTCAAAATGTTTTAAAATGTGTTAAGCATTCACTTCAGCTTATCTTACCATTGTGTTTTTGTAAAAAGTCAATTGTCTTCTGCAACACTGTAGACTTGTCCAGTTTACGCATACTACCCGGAAGCATGACACTGAGTTCTTTGATGAGGACATTGAACTGATCACGTCTCTTTTTCTCAGACTTGTTACGTGAAGCCCTAAATTAAAATATAAGAAAATATAATCAACATTAAATGGGACACAAGATATATGAATGAAATTTACTTTAAAGATAAAGGGACAGGACCAGTCCCTGCTTATACATGTCCTTTGAACTGCTGATGTCACCCTGAACTGGACGATATCTGCTCCCAGTGACTGATATAAAGGCAATAAAATACCTTTTAGTAATAAGACTAGGGCTTGCCTTCAACCATGAAACCGAGGCAAGGACTGTGACTTCTTGAGCTTTACATTCTGTCAGTAAAATGATCGTACATGATTTTCATTATAAAGAACGATATCTTCTTTTATGAGCTAACTGTGAAAAATTAGAATGGTGTGCTTTAAGAAGGAAAAAATCCCATCCACCTTGGAAACAAATTCCCAATATGAGCTAATATAAAAGCCGTCAGCCACGCAGCATGTAGATGCATTTGTCCAAAACAAAGCAGATCCCACGTCTATTGTGTTGAGGATAGATTAATTTTCAGTTGGATTTTAAACAAGAGTTAACCTATTTGAATATGGCTTCTGTCTGTTTTGTGCAGTTTGGGAAGTGCCTTTACATCATCTAAACTGAATGATCTCAGGTTTCCATTGCTGTCAGAGTACACAAATTTTCTCTCTAAATTGAACCTCTTTGCACCAGTTTTCAATCTGAAAAACAGGCACAAGAATGTGCAGTGCTGACTGCAATGTATTTCTCATTCTAATTCGCTGTGTAAACATGTCTATAAAGATAAGTTTTTAAAAAAATTCTGGAGTATACTAAAGTCACAGCATTGAAATAATAACATTACTAGAATATTCAAATAATAAAGAATTCTGCATTACAGTAGGCAGCAAGCTAAGCCTGTTGAAATTAAACTTTAGTACTAGAAGAATACAAGCAACACACTATAGCAATAATGCCCACTTTCAGGAATACCTTATTACTTTTACTCACCAATGTCTAGGTGCTTCAATGGAAATACATTATAAATTTTATAACATTTGCAAGTGATCAAAACACTCAAGGGTAAATTTAATGAGTGCACATTGCTGCCATAGAGTTTTGCTCAAAAGGGGTGTGCACTTGAGAGTCAGTGCTCCAGGTCTTTGGTCTGTAAAACATGACTGGAAACACTAAAGTAGTCTTTTAACATTTGCCTCTGCAGGAAAATATAAACTATTCTGGAAGTGTATACAAGCTTTACCTACACTCCTGACACATCTCATGTTTTCACAATATCACATATGTGGCTGGGAGATCAGCAAACCTGCAAAGCCTAACATTCAAAGTGTATTGTACAGTCCTAGGACCTGTTCACCACCTGGATTCAAACAGTATGTCCTCATGGTGCACAAACAATTATTTATGCTGGAACTGATCATTTTATTTTTAGGTATGGGACAGTATAACGGAGTGAAGTTGGAGACAATTTCATTTAGGACAGATATCTCATAATTTAACTTCAGGTGATAGTGGGTCACAAGGTCTTGGCCATTCTAATCTGCAAACTAACAAATTAGTAATTTTGCACGGCTTTTAAATTTTGACAAACCTTGTTGAAAAATTGGGGATTAGTTGTGTACTTGTTCAAAATGAATAGCAATGACGTACAGAGTTCCGTTTGCACGAAAAAGACAAATGTTAATCCTCACCTCTTGCACTCATACACACATTCTCAGTTGTGCAGTTGTGCTAGGTTTTATGCTTCTGACGTAACCATGGAGGTGTGGCTTAAGAACAACTATTATATTGCGATACCGTCCTTTTCAAGATATTGTAGAACCATCATGGATTTTGGAAATAAGTAAGACACTCTAAACAAGCTGACTTGACCAGCAAAAATTAGGTTTTCTTAAAAGCCTATCAAGCACTGTTACAGTAGTTTAAAACTAGACAGATATGCACTTTGCAAAATACTTTATTTGTCAATAATAACAGGCACTGTGGAGAGTTATCAAGGACTCCTGTTTACAGGCTATCTTCATGAACTACTTTCCCTGATAAGCATCATCAAATGAAGCAATGAAATCATGTGCACTGGAGAGAACTTCTTACCTGAAGAGAATGTGATACTTTTATACAATAGAAAGAAATAAAGAAGAAAGACATAGAAATGTTGGCACTAAAGGCGTCAATTTGTCTCATCTTGCCTGCATTCATGCTCACTTCATAACTGGGCTGTGTACTCAGATCAGATTTCACTGTTCTTTCACTGTTCCATACAATAATACCTTTCAAGAAATTTGAATTTAATGACATGGTACATTCAATCTTAGGAACATAAAGACAGAAGTAAACTATTTGAGTCTACCAATATGGTCATCTATCAATCTTCATCTTAAATATACTCAAAGACTGAGTTTCCTCAGCCCTTTGTGGTAGAGAATTCCAAAGGTTCCTTTTGAGTAAACATGTTGCAATTACCTTCCTAATTTCCCAATCAGGATCCCATCCATCTTCCTGTGTTGTTGGTGTCAAGGTGGACCATAATCTTTGGCTGATCCCCTTCTCTCAGAAGGATGTCCTACAGCTGTTCCATGACATGCTTGCCCCTGGCAACAAGAAGGCAATCCACCATCCTGGAGTCACAATTACTGTCACAAAAATGCCTGTCTAATCCCCTGAATATGGAATCTCCTATAATTATTTCTCTTCTGTTCTTTTTCTTCCTCCCTTATAGAGCTGAGTCTCCAGTGGTGCCATGGGTTTGTATCTGGCTGCTCTCTCCTGAGGAATCATCATCCTCAGCAGCTTCCAAATTGGAAAACTGATTAGAAAGCACAAAATAAAACAAAAAAAAAACTGCAGATGCTGGAGATTGAAAACAAAAACAGAAATTGCTGGCGAACTTCAGCAGGTATGACAGCATCTATAGGAAGGAAGCACAGTTAACGTTTGAGTGTGATGACTCTTTAAGAGTCACTGGACTCGTTAATTCTGCTTTCTTCCTGCAGATGATGCCAGACCTACTAAATTTTGTTGGCAATTTCTGTTTTTGATTAGAAAGCATATTGACCCAGGGGATTCCTGCAGTACAGGCCTGGTTTTCTTAGATTGCCTGATAGTTACCCATTCTCTCTCCTCCTGTATGTTTGATTCTTCAGTGCGACCACCTCTCTATCCGTGCTGCCCATATAGTCCTCCACACTGTAGATACACAGCAGTGACTGCTGCTCAAGCTTTGTGAAGCTATTGACACTTCCTGCAGATGTGTTTGTCTGGGACACATGGTATGTACATGACTTCACACATACTGCAGAATGTGCACTCCACTTAGTCATCCTGACCTGTTATCATGTAATTTAAAAACAACTATTTGTTAGCTGTAGAATAAATACAGACTTTCTATGAAAACTTAACAAGCTGTTTTTCAAAATGAAAAACGTCGAGATTTGAGAACAAAAACTAAATATGTAACGGTCACTTTAAAGATTGTAACTACTGACCAAACCTACTCATGAATCAGCTGCTTTCTCAGCACTCATGACATCATGCTTTCATTGGTCTGAGTCCAGGTAGCCCTCTCAATCAGTTCCTTATTTCCTGTCCTGCTGTCCTCCCACTCTGGAGGCTTTATTTCTTGGAGATAACCTTAATTAAAAGGCATCTCTTTCCCACTCTGCCCAAATTCTCATTTTGATCCAAAATCCCAGTTACTCACGCTCAGTCACACTCTGACAAAGTCATAAGAATAGAAGAACATAAGAACAAAGTGCAGTCTCACTTACTCTGACTGTGTGCTTTGAACAAGCACTTCTTCTCCAGAGATAGCAAGAACTGCCAATGCTGGAGTCAGAGATAACACAGTGTGAGCTGGAGGAATACAGCAGGCCAGGCAGCATCAGAGGAGCAGGAAAGTTGACGTTTCGGGTCAGGACCCTTCTTCAGAAATGGAGATGGGGAAGGGAGCTCCGAAATAGAGAGAGGAGGGGTGGGGCTGGGGAAGGTAGGTGGGATGGTGATAGGTGAGTGCAGGTAGGCAGTGGTGAGGATTGGTCAGTGAGGTGGGAGGAGTGGATAGGTGGGAGAGAAGATGGACAGGTTGTGCCAAGTCAAAGAGGCGGAGATGAGAGGGAGGGTTAGTCACGGAATGAGGCCGGTGGTGGAGAGATTTTGAAACTGATAAAGTCCACATTGAGTTATAGGCTCCCAAGGTGGAATTTGAGGAGCTGCTCCTCCAATTTCCAGGTGGCATCAATATGACACTGCAGGAGGCCCAGGATGGACATGTTACACACAGAGTGGGAGGGGGAGGGGGAGGTGAAATGGTTTGCAACTGGAAAGTGTTGTCGTTTGTCGTGAACAGTGTGCAGATGCTCAACAAAATGGTCTCCGAGTCTCCGCTTGGTCTCACTGATGTAGAGGAGGCCACATCGGGAGCAGCGGACGCAATAGACCACATTGATGGATTGCAGGTGAACCCTTGATTGATGTGGAAGGTTTTTTTGGTCCCTTGAATGGAGGTAAGGGGGGGAGGTGTAGGGGCAGGTGTAGTACTTCCTGCGGTTGCAGGGAAAGGTGCCGGGGTGGTGGGGCTAGTGGGGAGTGTGGAGCGGACAAGGGAGTCGCGGAGAGAGCGGTCCCTAAGGAAGGGGTGGGGAGGGAAATATACCTTTGTTTGTAGGGTCAGATTGCAGGTGGTGGAAGTGACGGAGAATGATACATTGAATACTGAGGTTAGTGGGGTGATATGTGAGGACAAGGGGGATTCTGTCTTTGTTTTTGTTGCGGGAGGGGGTGTGAGGGCAGAGGTGCGGGAAATGCAAGAGATGCGGTCAAGAGCATTTTCAACCACCGAAGGGGGGATGTTGTGGTCCTTGAAATACGAGGACATCTGGGATGTTTGGGAGTGGAACGCTCCATCTTGGGAGCGGATGCGGCGGAGGTGGAGGAATTGGGAGTAGGGGATCGCATTCTTGCGGGAAGGTGGGTGAGAGGAGGTGAGGTGTAGGTAGCTGTGGGAGTCGAAGGGCTTGAAATAGATATCAGTTTCAAGGTGGTTAC